CCCCCCCCCCCCAGTGCACAAATTTTTGTGCACCGGGCCTCTAGTATCCTATATAATAAAAGCCTAATAAGCAAATCAACTGAACATGGAATGACTGGTAGCTATGACATGCACTGACCACCAGGGGGAAGACGCTCAACACAGGAACTACCCCCAGCCCACAGGCCCCAGGACAGCCAAGGTGGGTACTAACAGGGGGCCCCCCTGGATCGCGGCATCGGGGGGACGGGGCCAGCCAGTGGGCTGGCGGCACCAGGCTGGCCAAGGTGGGTACCAGCGGAGCACCCTGATCGCCAGCCAGGCCTAGGGACCCTACCTGTGCACGAATTTCGTGCAGCAGGCCTCTAGTGTGTGTATATGTATGTTTGTATATATATCTTAATAAGAGAGATTACCATGAGCATGGCACTGTACTAAATGCTTTATGTAATCCTGCTAACCCTATAAGCTAGGCAGTATTATTATTCCCCACAGATATGTTAACTAAACTGCCCTAGGTCACACAGTTAGTAGAGCTATTCAATCTTAACAAAAGCTTGAGGCTCCAGACAGTAATAAATGATATGACTGACTTAAAAAATTTACAATCTCAAAATGTTTCTTATTAGCCTTACAAAACTAAAAATCTTATTAGTTTACTAGAGGCCCAGTGCACGGATTTGTGAACCAGTGGGGTCCCTTGGCCTGGCCTGCAGGGATCGGGCTGAAACTGGCTCTCCAACATCTCCCGAGGGGTCACGGATTGTGAGAGGGCGCAGGCCAGGCTGAGGGACCCTAGTGGTTGTGCACCAAGCCTCTAGTATGCACATAAGATCTTTAGTTAATCTCTTCCCACCCTCCCCCCTCCTCCCTTCCCTCTGAGATTCATCAGTCTATTCCACGTTTCCATGCCTGTGGTTTCCGCTCCTGCATTAAGTGTCTGCCCTCTGGTGGTCAGTGCGCATCACAGCTACCGGTCGAATAGTCGGCCGGTTGCTTAGGCTTTTATATATATACTAGGGGCCCGGTGCACGAAATTCGTGCACTGGGGGGGGGTGTCCCTCAGCCCAGCCTGCCCCCTCTCACATACTGGGAGCCCTCAGGGGATGTCCTAGTGACGGCTTAGGCCCGCTCCCTGCTCCCCTTGGGGATAGGGCCTAAGCCGTAGTCTGGCCTCCCTTTGTGGGAGGTGACCGGGCTGATCAGGGGAAGGCACCAGCCCCATCACCC